TCATTTCTTTGAAGATGAATTGCATTATCTTTAATCAGCTCAAGCCAGTTTGGTCACAGTTTGGTGAATATAGATGCCTTATTACAAATTTGGATGATACTAATTTTGGTCAAAAATAGAATGCTTTCCTTAGGAGTACTGCAGAACAGCTTAGCAGGCAAACTTAAGAGGGGTTTTAAAAAGTGATAAATATGTATATCTTTATTTTGAAGGGCATTCCCCTCCTACCTCCTCCTCTATTCAGATGTGTGTTCAAGTTCCAATAGGTTTTCGGTAGACTCTCAGTTATATTTATACATAAACTGTTGGGCTATTCCTAGAGATACTGGAACAAAACACAAATTTTGTCCTTTCCCACGTGATTACATGCCTTTTAGGTAAAGTTTTGTGTTTTTTGGCCCACAATTCCATTCCGTTTAAAAACCAGTCTAGTGGCTATTTTTATAAACACAGGATGGTTTCATATAGGGAATACATTATTTCTACATAGTGAAAGCTGATATTACATCTATGAACTTTATAAAACAATTTGCATATGCCCATATACACCAATATGCACAGCTATTACCAATCTCTTACGTAGATCTGTAAGCTTCATTATTTCCAGTTTTCCAAGGAATACTTTAATAAATCAACACAAACTACCAGCAACATACTCACCAAGGGAAGTCTTTCAGATACACATTCAATTTACAAAGTACTGTCCAGTCTGCGAAAAATGTTACTGGGACACATTACCACTCACTAAAAGCACACACAGGTTTTGGAATCAGACAGACTTGGGCCCAAATTTCTGCTCCCCATTAAGTCTCAGCAGGATCCTGAATGAGCTTTTCTCTCACCAAATGTGATTTCCATAGGATGCTGTGTGAGTCCTCAGAGCTTTAACATCAGTATTTAATACCATCTCAAAATGCCCAGCAGCTGGTCTACATTTTCCACTTTTTACCTAATTGAAAACTGAAGATCAAATTATTTTCATTTACAAAAGTAAAAAAAAAAAAACAAAAACAAAAAAACCCTTATGAGTGCAGTCATACCCCCAATAATGCAGTATAGATTTCAAGTTATCTTTTAAAATTTTTCCAAGACACTTACTTGGTGATCATTAAGCACATTCATCCGAGATTTGCTGAGTGCCTACACTCACATACCCACTACATGCCAGACATTGTGCTGAGGCATTTAAGAATCACAACTGAAGAAATTTTAAGAATTAGAATTTTAATTTTCCTACACTGCTAAGAATTCCTGTTTCATGTACTGTTTAACTGTTCTATCCAAATATTGAAATTTGACAATTTCATTGTTACTAAAAAAAAATACAAGGTTACATCAAGCTCATCACATGTAATTATAAAGCAATTCTTGCATGTCTCACTAGAGATCCAACTTAAGACCCCGATTGGGGGGGAATCAAACCATTTAAATGACACATTAATGGACAGATTCACTACTTCTAAAATCACTAAATAAATAGGTTTTCAAGACTTTCCAGCTGTTGGCTTTCCTAAGCTACCTTGGTGACCAATCTGTTACATCATCACTTGTTAAGTTCACTGACATTCTTAGGTCTCCTCCTGTAGCTAAACAACTTGGAAAGGCATGCAGTAAGGAAAATGCTTTTCAAATTCAAGATCTGAATTTATATTAAGCTTATATCCACATTACCCACTAAAATATGTACACTTTTCACTAAGATTTCAGAATAGTAGCTATTGTTTTTTCCTTCCTACCCAAAATTGATATAATCAAATGAGTTACAGTGTTTTAAGTTCCATAGCGAGGTATTTATGTATTTAGTTTACCATACTATATACTCTTAACTTTTCTTCATGTGAATGAGGCACAAAGTAAATTAGCATGTATAAACGGAAAATCATGTAAATTTTCTCTGTGGAAGGAATTATAGGCTCAGGAGCCAGTGCAGGATGAAACCTCCTTCCAACTCCTGTCCCTGCCATTTCCTAGCAGTGACCTTAGGTGACACTGGTCCAACAGCTCTCACCTCACAGTCAAAGTGACCTTTAAATTACACACTAAAACACTCAGAACAGTGTCTGGCATGTGGTAAAAATCACTTAAGTGCTCTTATTGTTTACAATTTAATTATTGTTTTGGAGAATGAAGATGATTTACAGTAATTTTGCTAACCTGAAATGTTATTTTAACATTCATGTCAACAGAGTACAGAATACTTATTGACTGACTATGCACCAGAGGGTAAAATACAGAATCTACAAGACCAAGACAATCTAACAGTAGTATACATCAGATAGCTTGAGAAAAATCTGGCTATTAAAAATTAAGTCTTAAGTTACAGCAGACAAAGATAAACCCAATACTACTAGTCATTTCACTCAAAATGAATATTTAAAACTAAACAAAAAGCAGGGCTATCTGGATTTAACATATATAAATTGAGGAAATGATATTTAGAAGCCTGAGATGATGTCAGTGTACTAGTATTCTGGGCACGTGGGCACTATATTAAAATCACCGATTGTCACCTAAGCCTTTCTTGCTACCCAACACATATACACAAGGAGGGAAATGGAACATCAACAGAGCTTTACTATGACAAGAAGTGTATCAGCATTCTGTGGGTCTGGGAGTGGTACATGTCTACATTTACAGCATCACAAAGGTGATTCTAATATATCCTTCAGAGACATGCATCCCTTCCCCGATCCCCTTTTAAAATTCACTGACATAAAGAATCCTTGCAATCACAACCACATTTTATTTTGTGAGGCTGTGTGTTCCCTAATTGCAATGAATTTTTAATCTTTAAATAATGTAACTATATAACAATTCAAAATAAACACTGTCCTGGATTTGAAAATGATAGCAGAAAATCACAATTTAACAAGTGAACAATTACATCATTTTTGCAGTTGGAAAACTATGTATCCACCCTCCTTAAAATTCTTCAAGTCAACAAAATTTATTCACATCAATAGGATTAAATGAATGGTTATGATCCATTATTCTTTGAAATTAAGACATCAAAAAACAGAAAAACAGCATCAATGACGTCTTGCTGAAAAGAAAGGAACATCCAAATATATCATTATGAGCTTCATTGAGCTATATCATATGAATGTTAGGTGACCCAGTTTTGTTCTACGTAGTATCATTCTGACCATTCAACTCAACTGCAACTCAGAAATGCGTTTCAGTATGTTTGTAATTATTTAGAAGCATAAATAGTAAGCCTGTGCTCCCTAACAAGCATGTCTCTGTGAACTCTAGAGTTTACATTTGTAACATCCACACTTGAGACAATGACATAAATTTAACTTTACTGATTTTTAATAGATTAAACTAGCACTTAAATTGTTTTAATGCCTCATTAAGGAGATTTCAAATGACATTTTTACATCTTTCATATTTATTTACTTGACAATCTGGGTTGCCCAATTTCCCAAGGTATTTCATTTATATATCATTTAATTGGGAATTGAGGGCAACAAAAATTCTGAAATCTGAGATACCAGTATCTTCCCGTAAATAACCACCTACTGAATATTAACTCAAACTACGCAAAAATGAGAAAGTAAAACCCTTCAGCTTCCCATGGTACACCTGACCTACTACAGCTTAAGTATGGTAAAAGTGTCCTGAGAATGATTTTCATCTGTATCTTAACTGCATCACATAAAAGCAGAAAATGTAGAGATTTGGAGCATAAGGCTTATAATTCTACAGTACAAGTGGAGACAAAATTAAATGCAGTTAAGAACAAATTTGCAAGTCCTAAAATTATAACCCAGGACGTATGGGGAAAAATATTTTTGTGGAGCTTTTAATCCATATTAGAATTTAGTTGCTCTAACTTGACCATAAATTTAAACAGAAACCTCTTCTGAGACATACATTCTAATAAATGTATTAACAGTATTGATAGTCAAGGGTCTGTTGTTGTTTCATCTCACTAGTAACATTTCATTTTCTATCTAACAGAAACCTACAATGGTTTGCACCAATCACAATGATGAAACATTGTCTTATGAAAATAAAATGAAACAAAATTAAATAAAATTGAAGATAAAAATATTCTGAAGTTAAAGGAAACCATAATCCTTGGCAAATCAGTCAGGTAAAAAACACTGGTGAGAGTTGGAAGCACAGGATTAACTAACATGAATCTTCAGCCCAAAGTACATTTTTGAAAACATGAAACAATGACTCTTTGGAGGACAACAGCTAAATATCCAAGAATCATCAAGTCTGAAAAATATTGCTTCATCACTTTCCAAAAACACAGTTAGTTGCAATAACTGAAGATCTTATTTAAAAACATCAAGGTAATTATTTATTGCATCTTTAGAATGCATTTTGAAACAGAGAAGTAACAGTGCACCCCAGTTTCACCATAACATATATTTGAGAGAGGGAGAACCAAAGATATATATATAAACAAAGTATAGACTGTATGTGCTTTTCAAAGGGGCTCAATTAAATATAACCAGCTGCCAACTTTGTGCTATGACATACTTAGGGGGTATGTGTATACTAAATTTATTTTTGTCTACAAGAAATGAAATAAAAACACTGCCCTATATTAATCCACTATTAGCAGTGAGTACAACAGCAAAAATTATTGTACAATTTATACATACTAAAATATTTTCCTTCTCTAGAGATAATGCAGAGTAAACACCTAATCATCATAAGACTTAATTTGAGAAATCTCAAATTCAAGAGGGAAAAACCAAATCAGGATATGTATAAGCCCAAAACAAAGGTTCCTGGTCATAAGGCTATCAGATTAGTAAGTGCAAGTGGTAGAATAAAGCATGCTCAAATTGTATGCTTGGGTCTTTGTGTATTTATCAAACCTTTAAACTAAGCAAGATTAGCTAAAGAAATGCCTTAAGCAGAGCAAGATAATCGGGAATTATGTCATTTCTCTTTACCATTTTTGTTACCCAACTTATACAATGCGCAAAGTGCTAAGCAACACTACAAAAACACATTTACGTCAACACTGAAGACCTGGGGAAATGAAATCCAACAAGTTTATTTTAATGAGCTGTGTTTTCTAAATTTCTGTTTTATTTTTTCCTGTTTTCATACAGTATTGAAAACAAAACGCGGCACATTCACATTTTCCCGAGGAACTGTAAAGATGATCTCTACAGGGATAAATGTTGTAAAGCCTGAAGCTCAATCGATGTTGAGAACTCTCAAAGGGAGTAAAGGCTTGATCTGAATGGTCTAGAACATGTACTGTAATTTAATAGAAGAGATGGTCGTCTTAATATTTAATGATTTAAAAGAACTTCCCAGTCCATGCGAAGAGTACAATCCAAGAATAAATCAAATTTCTGAACGCATTCTATGCTACGTATGTGTACACTTTGCGATCCTCAGGTGTTCGTGCCAAATATTCTCTCTCAATAAGTCCTTCAATACGTTTCTTAATAACAACTGGACTTGGTAAGAATCGAGCCTTGAGTTGCTGAGTTACCTAAAAGAGAAGGTAAACAAACTAATTCCTATCATAAAAAAAAATACAACATTATCATAAACACACACAAAAATTCTTATCTTTGAATAGAACTGACAATTCATTTTAAGACTCAGGTCAAACGTTAGTAATTTGATTACCAAAGTTAAAAATACAGAAAATAAAGTTTTATTTGAAAATGTAATGTATTGTTAGACTACACCTCATTCACATCAGAGTGTGAATCATAAAGTGGATTAGTACTTGAAATGGTTGGGATGGATATATGAACATATACCATACCACAGTTTAACTATTTTGATGCTATAATCTACTGACTTCTGGGTTACTCTCCTAATTCACAGAATTTGATTAATCATGGGTTTAGAAGCACAAACTCTGGAGTCCGAGTGACTGGATCTGAACCCTAACTGTCCCAACTCACTAGCTCTGGGACCTTGGGAAAGTAGCTTCACTTCATCAGGTTGTTGTGTGTATGAAACGAGTTAACAGATTCAGTGCTTTAGGTAATGCCCAGTTCCTGGTTAGCACTACAGTTATTTTCTCCAGCTGCTGACAGGATTCTAGGTATTGTGACATCAGTCATTTATAGAAGTTACTAGAGCAGCAGCTGAAGTCTCACTATGCACTGTCAGTCATTTTGTATATATTAACTTATTTAATGCTTTACATTAAATAGAGCATTAAGTTGCTGTCTGATTTTACAAATGAGGAAAATAGACCAGAAGAGGAAAACTAAAATGGGCAAGTGGTAAACTGAGCCAGTAGTTAAAGAGATGAGAATCTAAACCTTTCTGCACCCAAAGTCCACACATGCTTTTCCCACTAATCCATCTGCCTTCTTGCAGATCACCCATCTATACATGCCAGCTTTTTTTCATTCATTTCCTAAGTCACAATGGACTGATAATTCTTTGAATTTTGAAACTTCAGCACTTTACTCTCCAACTAAAATCTACATCTTGAAGAGCACTAGCATTCTCTCAGGGCACTACCATTATTCCTCCAATATCAGTAACCTTGTTCTCAACCCCTTTGGCATCTCTAATGCTCGGACCCTTCCTTCTAAGCTACTAAGAATGTTCTTTGACCTTGTCTCCTTTCTGATAAGGTCTAGGCTGTGCATGAGATCATTTCACTTTCAACAATGCCCTCAACCATGATTCCTCTGGTTCTGTATCATAAAAACACATTCTACATTTACTATATCATTCAACATCTACTCAGTTCTCTGCTGAGTACATCTGTAGTTTTTAGTAACTTTTGCATAGACCAGGGATTAAAACATGGCAGCCAACAGGCCAAATACAGCCTGTTGTCTCTTCTTATAAATTCTTATAGGAACATAGCCACAGTCATTTGTTATCCATTGCTACTTTCATGCTACAACTCGCCATTTTAAAAAAAGTTTGCCTATGCTGATGGACAGTGACTAATGGGGTATGTGGAGGGGACTTGGTGATGGGGAGAGTCTAGTAAACATAATGTTCCTCATGTAATTGTAGATTAATGATACCAAAAAAAAAAAAGTTTGCCAATCTGTGGTATAGATTGATCGCACAAATTTATAATATTCAAGTTCACCAAGTTCCTAAGCACCCTAACTTCATATCCTGTTTCACATAGGCAAAAAGGCCGTTTCAGTTTGAAATTCCTCAAAGTTCTACCACTTTACATAATACATTTATCCGTATTTTCATCCATCCTTGATTAGCAGACACTCCTACACCCTGCCCTGGGTTTTCCAGAAGAGGTGTATTCAGTTAACATCTTTGTTAACACATCTACCACCTACCGTGTTCCCTGCACAATCTTCTTGCCTCTCCTTTTCTACATTTTTTTACATCACTTATCCCCTCATCCCATTTTTTCCCTTTTGTTTTTAAGCATTTCTTCCTTATCCTTAGGATATAAACATTTCTCACCTAGAGAAACACAATCTAGAACCCTTCAATTTAGCACAAAGTCGCCTAGTATTGCTCTGTCTGCCCTCCCACGAGACAACATCTGAAAGCGCTAGACACTCTACTGGCTTCACCTCCATCTATTTCTCAGGGCACTGCCATCAAATGTCCACTCTTAACAGTCCAATGAAAATGTTGGGGAAAATAACCAGTCACCTAATTGCCAACATATCTGAAGTGTTTATTCAACATGTTCTTTTAGGATTTTTGAAATAGTGACTTCTCACTCCTTATAATTCCCTTCTGCCATGTGATATAAAGTCAACTTGTACAAGATATTAACTGACATGTGGAAAACACAGCAGCACATCCCCCCTCCCTCTTAGGTTTAAGGGACAACCTCTATTTAGCTGCTATTCAGGCCAGAAACCGAAGGAATCATCCTCAACTCCTTCTTATTTCCCAGGATCAGTGAATAAATCCCATAAAATCTACTTCCGATTTGTCTTCCTTCAGCTCTCTGTCCAATACCAATGTTTTATTCAGCCTTGATCACCTCTTATCACATTATTTCAATGACTTCTCAACAGGTCTTCCCCTTTAGTTTACTAATTTGTTACATGTAAATACTCATAATAAATAAATGGTAAGTTACTAACTTTTAGAAATAAAGGTGGTTTGTTTTACACTGAAGTATTAAATAGCAGTGAAATCTTTTTAATTCTTCATGTGGCAATATTCTATTATGATTCTCATTACAAACAGGTTAGTTCTTAAAGTGTGCTATACTTCAATATACTGGTATATGTAATTATCAAGCAAATGCCACACTTTTAATACATGTTATCTGACCACAGTTTCCTAAGTTAGGATTAAATTTTAAATTAGTTGAATACAGTACTTTCCTCAATTTAAACTGCTGATGCTATTGCGCCTCTCCTACATCAACCCAGTCCTGAAGTTTCCTCACCTCTGCTACTAACACATTGTGCTGCATCTTCTTTCTAGATTTCATTATCCGCACTATAGCAGCTTCTATCTCATGCTTTCTGTCGTCGTCTACTTTCTGCCTCGTTTCTTTCCTTTCTGGGTCAGATTCACCTTGTTTGGCAGCAACTAAAAGAAAAATAAAGACATTTACCATGAAATTTCAAATGTAATGAAAAATTTGTGGTTTTTAAACAAACTTAATGTAATTTAGAATTATCCACAAAGAAAAACCAATTTCAACCTCTGAGTATACACATATACTAATTAATTCAAGTAAACATTCCAAAAGTACCCAGTTCAATATTTTAAGAATCTCTAACAATCAGTGATATAAAAACCCTGCTTTCTAAGTTATTCTTTTTAAGAAACAGGAATTTAATTTTATAGAGATAACAAAACCAATTTTGTTTCTATAAAATATGATGATGCCTTTCCTGGAAGAAAAATGGTAGCTGGATATCTTTAGTGGTAAAATTATCAAGAAATAATTTTCATTGCTTGTGCCTTCCAGAAGTCAACTAGAATTTTACTGCCATGTTTTACCAAGTTAAATCTCACCAGAAGTTATCTCAGAGAGGAGAATATGTAATGTCTTACTATAATCTTTAAGGTGGAAAGGGTATGTATTACAAGATTTAGTAAATTCAATAAAAAATTATGAAGTACCACTAGAATGTTATTTTAAAAAATTCCCTAACAAGTAATTCATTTGTACCTCTCACCACTTAGCTAACAATTTTTTGTCATATATCTTTCTTTTTGTCACAATCTCATTATCATTAATACATACTATATTCCAATCTTGAGATGTCTTACTCTGTTAGCCTCTATAGTCTTCAAGGCAACTGCTAAGGGATTAAATACAGAAGTCCCTTTCTCTGCAACTTTGCTCTGATTGAAGTAGCAGAGAAAGGAAAGTGACAAACTGGTTTTTTGTTTATTTGGTCATCAAGCGTAGATAGATACAAAGTTTCTGGAGGCAGAAACTGGGAAATTACAAAGAACCACATGGGGCATTGCTAACTTAGGCCTGGGTACACCCAAGAGGCAGCTGACAATTCAATTTAGAAGATCATTCTGGTGTGCACATCCATTCAACTATTTCCAATTAGAATCACTTGTTTAAGAATTCTACTTTCAGTGTCTTCTTCCATGTTAACAATTGGTATCTTAACAAAAAAGAGTAAAATGCTATTAAAATAGTCTATTAACAAAAAGAGTAAAATGCTATTAAAATAGTCTATTAACAAAGAATAATGCTTTTTCTCAAAAGGGTCAATATCATTAAAGAAAAAGATAGAGGTACTGATTTAGATTAAACAGAACTAAACAGGCATAAAAATCAGTGTAACATGGAAACCTTGATTGAATCCTGGATCCAAAAAGTAAGGTATGAAAAGCATTTCTGAGGTAACTATAGACATGTAAATATGAGTGGTATAAAGATGTATGGAATTAATTTTATTGGGTGTGATATATATAGAGAATTGCAATTCTCTGGGAAAATATTCCAAGGGGATAGATAAATGAAGTATTTAGGGGAAATGTTACATTGTTTGAAAATTAATTAAAATGCTATAGCAAAAAAAAAATATATATATATACATAGAGGGGGAAGGGTGGTGGCAGTGGTGCCCAAGCAAACATGGCAAAATTTTGGTAACTTGTAAACATAAGTGATGTCCACACTGATGTCTATTGTAGTGTTTCTCTTTTCTGTGAATTTGAAAATATTTAAAATGAAAAGTTTTTATCTTGGAGAAATAAAAGAAAAGAAAAGAAAAAAATAAAGAAAAAAATTTTTTTTGAATCATCTATTTGGTTAATCTGGATTTGGTCACCTAAAGAGGCATACACCAAGATAAATGGAACACTGTGGTATATGATACACTCAGTTATGATGTTCTTAAAAATGTGAGGGCAGGAGCTAACTTCCAGAGCCTACTACAATACTCTGCACTTAAGAATGGCAGAACAGAGGCGTCTGCTTATGTAAGTGGATACATACGTATCTAAATGTATTCGGGGTAAAGGAAGGGAGAAGGTGAGTGGTGGTGGTGCGGAAGACAAACTATGTAAATTAATAAATCTTAATTCTTTCCAAAGGTTGTGTTATTTGAGTAGTACTTTTAACTTTTAACTTTTAACCTCTTTGCTTAAGCTTCTATTACTAATTAAAGCAAAAAGCAGCATATTTAAATAGGTACGAGTCAGAGTTTTTGAGTATCTGATTATGAGTCAAAAAGACAAAGATGTACTTTGATAACGTACATGGTCACAATAACTTATACAATCAGAAGGAAAATTTTAATGTAACATGAAGTCAGCCCAGAGAACTTAGATACCATTTCAAAGTGAGAAACAGTTATTTTACAGGATTTTATTCTTCAAAGAACTCTGAGAGATCATCCAAATTCTACATCATATGTAAATATATTCCTATTTTAATCAAACCTAAAATACTACACATACACACACACCCTTAACACCAAAAACGAAAAACCCATCAAGAGGAGACTATGTACTTTTTGATAAAAACAATAATAGCTGACAATATTATTGCCGGGCATGACTGAATCTAGGGTTACGAAGACAGTTCACCTATTCAGGGTAAAGCAGGATGAGGCTAGGTAACTCAGGTATGTATTACCATACATTTTCCTCCAAATCTAGAATACAAGTATATTCTGAAACCCAAAACCTTTATGTGCCCCAAACTATAAAATCTTCTGCCTTGCACTAGAGGAAAAAAGATATTTTATTCCATGACTCTCCTTATCACAGTTGTTTTATTTTTAATATCCATCTGTGTCCCAAAGATATGGGGCCACTTTTTGTGATTAATATACAAAATGACATGTTTTGCAACTATGGCACAAAGAGGTCATGGCTTTAACAGATACCACCTTGCTTACAGAGCATAAATAACCAACCAGTGTCAAAAAAGACAACAAATGTATGTATATAAAGTTCTTGAGTCAACATATTTTGGCAATCAACTGTCTAATATTAAAATAATTTTTAAAAAGACTATCTTTTTACTAATGTAAATGTAAATACAGCTTTTTTTTAAAATCAGAAAAAGGCAGTACCTTTAAAAATGTCATCTTTTAAAATACTGCTTTATTATACAGGTATATTAGTCATAATAGATGAATTAGTACTGATTAGTAATAATGGGGAGCTTATTTAATACTAAGAATATTAATATTCTTAGTATTAATTTTGAAATCAGATAATCTATGTACATTAAGCATCAGCAAAGATAGACTGCTTTTTTCCCTCTATCATGCAATACATAGGATGGCTCATTAGTAACTTAAAAATAAGGTCACACTAAGCACTGTTCACAAGGGGGTCATTTCTGTGTTTGTAAGTTAGAGAATATGTATTTTAAAGGTTTTGAAATTTAAATATTTATAAAGATATATATAGCTGCATTTGAAGATCAAAGTTTAGACAGGTAACTCCCAATTCTGAGAAATCTATAAATCAGTTTCAAAAACAGACATCCACCACTTATAGTTAACTCAAGTTAAAAACAGGTATTTTTAAGTATTAATATGTTCATAAAATTGCATGTTCATAAAATTTGCATTGCACAAGAAAACCACACAGAAATAAGTACCTTGTTCATTGTTCACACTGACATTTTTAAATGCTTACTGTACTTGTACTCAATTGCATTTTGAGAGAATAATACACATCAATAAAAACTGCTTTATTTCTTAAGCCTACTTGTCAAGCAGCAACAGAAAAGCATTACATTTTTAAAAGATAGAAATCCAACAGATTAAAAGATTTTTTTTAGAGGAAAAAAAGTCATTTCTTTTTTAGGAGGAAAAACATAATCCCAGATACCTGTTTGAATCTTGACTCTGTGTAGTTTGGATGTGAACTGATCATTAACTGTAAATATGTGACCATTTTCTATTTCCTTTGACTTGGGTTCCTTTGTAAGAACCCGTTGCGTTGGTTTACCACAGGCGAGGGACTGCAGGGCTCTAACAAGTTCTCTTTCAGGGATATCTGTCTCTTGCTGAATTTCCTGAAATTTTATCAGATTGACATAATCAGTCTTTTTGAAAGATTAAAGTAGATTAGTTAATTAGTAAGTTTATAAAATTGACCAAGCAGTACTTAGAGGTAATTGCATTAAATAATTTACAATAAAGGACTCCCCGATTATTATGACTTCATTAATATCTCACTTATTTGAACAAACTAGAAAAAATGGTGCATCAAACTACAAAATACAGAAAAGACATGTACTTTCTTGTTTCAGAGGACATAAAGCCTACTCGAAAAACGGCAGAGATTATTAGGGACCTGTTTTAGTTATTTAGGTAAAAAAGTGTTAATCAACATATGATTAGTAATTTTAGAAATATTTTGCAATGTTCTTTACAAGTTTATGCACACTATTCTTGTACAACCATCTTTCATGGCAAGCAGCAAAGTAAGCCTGAGCAAGGCCTCCTGACATATCATTAAAATTTACAATCCAAGTTGACCATATTTTCTGCCTATATGATCAAATGAAAAAAAAATCAAATAACTGGTAATTAATATTGAACATGAAAAGCACTAAGAAACCTGTTTTGAAGTGCATTACTAGGAATTATTACTATACACTATGGTAAGCATAAAATACAATACTAAAAAAAAACAGCAATTGGGAAAAAAGTATAATTTTTTAATTCATTTTCCTACTTCTATGTCAGTGGGACAGTAAGAGAAATGTACATGTATATGATTTAGTCCCTATACATCTGCAGGGATATATGACGGAACATATCTTCACACTAAGATATTTCCTTCTGATGCATGTATAAAGTTCTTTCTCAAAAGCAGCTTAGGAAGACTGGGTATGAAGATGGTGATATTCAGATTATGTAACTGGTCTCAAGAGAGTCACTCTTCCTTTCACAAGCATCTTGCACAACAGTTCAGGTTTTTCTAAGGCCTGTCAGGTAAGTGAGCATTGAGAGAAATGGCAACTTTCAGTGATAATGAGCAGTCCTTTGCTTCAAATTATCTCTGGTTATGTCTGCTTACTAGACATTTCAAAGACTATAAATGTTAATCTAAGAACATCAAATTGGTGCTGCTATTACAGTGTTGACTGCTATTATTTTGTACATGCTAAAAGTGAGTTATCTAAATATTTCACTATTTAAGCATTACATTCCAAGAAATGGAAATACCTTCTTCAGTTTTATTTTACAATTACAGATAATTTTTAGATGTAAAACTACTACAATTCAGTATGTATCCTTCTTTCCCTTTTCAAAGCATCTACATATACATACAGGAATACAGATGTAGCAAATACATGTACGTACACAAACATGCCCAACTGTGTATCAGTATTAATGCAAAACAAAAAGAATCACACCATCTGAATTCTTCTATTAATTTCTTGGAGAATTTCCATTTTAGCATAAAGAGCTTAAAGCTATAAGAAATTTCAGAGTACTGTTCTATCATGACATGGAGATTGAGAATGTATTCAGTTTTGTGATGAATCCTGTATTTCTGTCTTTGAGCACAAAAACTAGTTCTGAAGATTTTTAGAAATGCACTTGTTTCCTCAAAGTTATAAAGATTTTATATTTGATATACACTGACAAAACTGCCTTTCAAGTTGCTGAACTATTTCACAACATTCTTTGAGTATCTGTTCTCTCTACCCTCAACACAGAATTTCCTTTCTCTTTTACTCATTTGTTGGGCTAAAAATGGTTATCTCATTATTTTAAATTTCTATGACAAATAGAAGAAAAAAACCCCTTTTTTGCTTACTGAAGAATTTGTAATTCTTCTTCCATGCTTTGTCTAAATATTTATATTCCTTTCATGTTTTTCTATTCAATTGTGCTTTGTATTAATTTATTGGTGCTCTTTATATATATGGGTATTTAATTGTTACATGTTGTAAAGTAATTCCTCCTAGCTTATCTTTTCTCTTTTAACTACAATATGTCATCACACAGATGTTTTATTATTTGAATTTGTTTAAACTTGTCATTCCTTTCCTTTGTGATTTATGAATAGGCTTGAAAATAAGTCTTTTTCATTTCAAGCTTACCAAAATATTGTTTTCTTCTATTACTTTCATAGATTTCTGCTTACATCTATAGGAAATTTGGTTTTGGATTTGGTGTATTTCCATATAACATACAGAACACCAAGGTTCCCATACCACTCTCTACCCATTCCCACAGAAGAAACTGTTTTAATTTAGTTTGATTAGAAATGACAAATTTATCACAACCCAAACACCATTCTTTATCTTAATCCGTTTCTGGACTATTTTGTTCAAATGAGCTATTTGTGTACGTATTGTTAACTTAAAGGTACGTTATTAGGACAAAAGCCTTTCCTTTTTACTGGGCTTTCCCACAACCAAACCCATGGGCCCTCCAAAACTGAATGTTTGCCTATTTTTGTGCATTTTCCTGTCCAGATGAATTGTGGTCACAACCTGTCAAATTTCATAGAAAACTAACCTTTTGTAGATTTTGACTGGCATTTAATTTAATTCATAGGTGACTTATAAAAAAAACAAAACAACTCTTATAACATGTAGTTTCTCCATTTCAGGCACATTTACCCTTTCATATTCTTTTGCTTTTATTGCCTTTTTGGTATACATCTTCTACCTTTCTTGCTAGAATAATTCCTATGAAGATTGTGATTCTCACAAAAAAATTTTTCCTGTCATTTTCTGATTAATTCTGACTTATAGAAAAATATTTTTCAACCAAACTCTTCTCAGAGAATGGTTTCTCAGTTACCACAGTTGACAATCGTATTATCTACAAATTTTGTCAGTTGCTGGTATTTATAAGCTTACTCCTTTTTCTCTTCTTAATGTGTTAGTTAGGCCCTGTAAAACAAAACTCAGTAGTAGTAATAGTAAAGGCAGGTATCCCACCTTTAAAGGGAAGGTGTCTCATATTTTACTACAACTACTGTTTAAGTACCTTGCAAGGTAACATCCACAAGACATAAAGGGTATTTCATTATATTCTTAGGTGGCTAATGAATCCCCCAGCCTGGAAATAAGGAATGGAGACTGACTCTTACCAAATGCTTTTGTACATCAATAGAGATCACTAATTGTGACTTTTTTCCTTGAAATACTGCCCAGCAATAAGGCAGGTGCTCAGTTTATTATTATAAAATCTTAATAACTGTTACTAAATTCCTTCTTTGTAATCCAGGAATAAGTCCTATCTGGATGTAGTAGATTAATCTTTCAATACATTGCTGATTATGACTTTTGCTAGTATTTAATATTTGTGCACTTAATTTGAATGACCTAGAGCGTGCTTTTCCTTTTTTTTGTATGTTCCTGGTTCAGTTTTAGTAATAAAGTTCTGTCACCCCCAGATATTTCCCAAGAGCACTATGTGTATTTCGCTTTCTCAGGTCAAAGTCCTCTGTACAGCTTTCATTTTAATCTGTGTTATTGAAATCTTCATATCCCTTTTTTTATTGTCTGGCCAGTGAGCACATTTGTGAGGGATTTCTGATTGTGGAACTGTCTGTTTTTCCTTGTACTTAACAACCACTTTTCTTTCTATATTGCGAAGTCGTGTCATTAATGATTGTTGTAACATTTTAATGAAATATCAATTGTCACTGTTGTTTAATGGTTTTCTATTTAAATAATACTATCTGATATTAAGTTCACTATAGTCCAAAATTAGTTTTTATATTTCAAACTCATTCTCAGAAAACTTAATAAAGAACATTCAAAAAAAGTGTTAATATTCATGTCTGTTCAAAAACTAAACAAGGTGAAGACTACCACTGATTGTATTTCCTGATTTTAGCTGTTCTAATCACAATATGGACTTCTATTTGCTCAAAAAACATATGGGAAAAGCCTTAAGCAGCTTTACTACTACAAATAATGGGGCTACTACAAACAAATGCCCCCTTTTGCAGGCAGTTTCCAAGATGACCCGTAATGATCCTGGTATGCTTTAACCTTGTGGGGCCCCTTCACTGTATTAGGGCTGACTTGGGTGATCAAGAAAATAAGGAACTGACAATACGTGAATTCCAATGGCAAGGCAGGTTCTGCCCACCCCTCCTGGATTGCTTGTTCTACAGAAAGGTGGCCACCAGGACAAAAGGATAATCAACAGCCACATGCTAAGGCCCCTGTGGAGAGAGAAACTAAGACTTCTTATCAACAGAGAAGTGCCTTTTCACAATGCCCCGGGCTCAAGATGCAGGTAGCCAGAAGGCTTTGCAGCCATAGGTATGGCATTCTGCATATGACATTTATGCTCAGGCTGCACGGCTGTGCCTTACCTAAAATACAAAATACCAGAGGAATTCTCAACTTAACTTTACCTTCTATCTAATCACCACTCATTAGCATCAGTGATCCCAAGCTGGTTAGAAAAGGGAAAAAAAGTAAACTTTAACATTAAAATTACTAGTAATTCCAATAATGGCTTTAGAAAATGAATTTACATTTTGTTTATCTTCTTATTTTGGCCAGGTCTTTATATATGAGGACTCTGAAAACCAACTCGAGCATTTATCAAATAACTTATTTTGCTTAAAATATATTATCCATGAGAGCTGAAGATTAAAACATCCAAGCTGTTAGAAGATCATTTAATTCCATCTCTGTTTGAAAAGGCTTACAATGATTGAGTTAAGGTACTGAATATTTGCTTAATCAGTATTTTTGGGACCCAATCACATACAACTTGTGCTTGAAATTTAAGGTTATTCCCTAGGTAAGTCACACATGGAAATATAAAAGAACCAAGCCTTTTGATTAGCCACTGACCTAAAAAACTTAGACTTCAAAGTATTTCCTTGAGGTATATCTCTTGAGACTGGTCATCTCTTAAACTAATGTATCACATAAATGGAAATATGAAGAGGCGTACTCAATAGGCCTGGAATTTAACCTTGCTCTTAATTTATTAAACTTCTTTCTGCTAAATGTCTTACTTCTTTCTATTCACCTGTATCTGATAGTTGGCTTTCAAATATATGGCAGGAATTTTACAACTTTTAAAAATATTTTTTATCTTAAATTTAAACTTAGTAAGAATCATATGATATTCATTTCAATTCTAAGCCACCCAGTAAAGGTATGGAGAAAAACTGAATAGAGTAACTGAATATAATGTAATCAAATCATGACTTAACAGGGATAAAGAATAGGTGGGTACAGAAACTGGACACTATCAAGACAGTGTAAAAGTGGCATAAGAATCCAAGTAGAAATCAATGAAAAAGATCAGAGTACAGAAATAGACTCATGCATATATGATCAATTGAGTTTTATTTACAAAGGCATCAAGGTAACTCAAAAGGAAAGAATAGTGCTTTGACAAATGATGCTTGAATGCATAAAGTGAGTATGTGTATGAGGAGGAAATAATTCTTAATAATCCTTACCTCCAACTATACAAAAAAATTAACTTGATATTGATCACAGGCCTAAATGTAAAAGCCTAATCAAGAAACTACTGAGAAGAAAACAAGAAAATCTTTGTACCCTTAGTGTAGACAATATTTCTTAGAATATCAAAAGCATGAATTATAAAAGGAAAAAAGTGAAAACTGGACTTTGTCAATATTAAAAAGTTCTGCTCTTCAACATATACCACTAAGAAAATGAAAAGGCAAGTGACAGACTGTGATAAAATATTCACAGCACACAGATCTGATAAAGGATTTGTACCCAAAATTTATGAAGAGCTTTTAAACAGCCCAATAAAGACACAAACAGACATTTCACCAAATGAGACATATTAAATGGCATATGAGCACATAAAAGATGCTCAACATTGCTACATTCATCAAGGCAATGAGATATAATTATACACTAGCTAAGATGGCTACAATGAGTAAGACTGACAATACTAAATTTTGAAGAGGCTGTGGAGCAACTGAATTCTCCCACACTGCTGGCAGGAATGTAAAATGGTACAGTCACTTTGGAACACAGTTTAGCAGTTTCTTAATCAGTTAAACATATATATCTATTCATAACAGCGTAAATTCAGTAATAACACCAATGCCCATCAACACATGAACGGACAAAGGAAACAGATTTATATAACAGAATATAATGCAATGAAAAAAAAAAGAATGAGCTATTGAAACTATATACTCAAAACATGGATGCATCTCAAAAATACAGTTAAGTGAAGAAAGCTGGAGAAAAGTGATGTATATTATGACTCCATTTATTTCTAGGAAAGCAAATCTAATCTATAGTAATATAAAACAGATCACTGGCTGTCTGGGGATAGTGGGAGTAATATGACTGCAAAGGAGTATAAAAATTTGGAGAGAGGGTAGTATTTCTATACCTTGATTGTGATGTTAGTTTACAGGTGCATCCATCTGCTAACTCATTAAATACTGCAGTTAGACTGGCTAAGTTTTATTACATAAGACCTATATACTTTAATAAAGTTGTTTCTTTAACACCAAAGGAAATATGACCTAATATGCGTATGATGTTCATATAGTTTCACAGCCCAATGTTATGCTGTTTTCTCAAATGGTGCTCAAAGGTCACTCAAATAAGAAGAATATGCAAATAATAACCCTAAAGGTTACTCAAATAACAAAGACTCAACTAACATGTGGGAATTAAAAACAACTGGTTAAAATTTATATAACCAACTCATACCTCAAACGTGTATTTTTCCCTATTATTAAAAAGCATTAATATGGTCATCTGGAAAGTAGAAACTTGCAGTATATGCTTCCGTGTATTAGAGCCAGTTACTTGCGCCCCTCCAACACCAACTTCAGATCCATCTTCCTGTTTCAGTTTAAGAAAATTATAAAGACATAATTATCTCCTGGAAAATTGACAACACATTTGAAAAACAAGCCCTGTGAAGTCCAAACCCCCACTTCAATAGAACTACGCAACTTTTTTCTATATAAAAAGGAAATGTTAAAAAATGTATATGCATAGATGCATAGATACCTGTGTACACACACACATGCACATACAAATTCTTTCTTTAGGACTCCCTTTTTTCCCCCCATTGTGAGCATTTTAATATTTCTACGCAAGTAATGAATCAACAATTCCTATATTTAGAGCTAAAATTATTTTAACAGTACCAATGGGATAATGATGGACTTATAAGACATCACTGCCATACCACTACCAAAACTAAACGGTTAGCTTTTTGTGTGGTCTAATCACAGGATGAGATCAAACGACAGAAGACAGAGGAAATGAAAAAAAATGTCCTTTTTAAAGTCTGTTCCTGCTCTATAATTCATGAAGTACAAAGTAGAAATTTACATCTTCAGTAATTAACAATTGACTGTTTTTAAGACCTAATGATCTATTTAATAAAACTTCAAAATATAACATGTTTAGGAAAAAAAGATCTCTCCTTTAAAACAAAAACAAGCAATTAAAAGCTAAGTTCTTCAGTATGACCTTCCCACTTACACTTAAATATAATACTGTCAAACATTATTCACATAAATGAATTTTAAGGAGTATTTCCCATTTTAATTAAATATAAAAATTAGAATATGTACAGACATTTCCAATAATATCATATAAAACTAGTAAGGCTGTATTTAAAATATAGAATAAAACTTATTTTCTGCCTAGATGACAACTTAACATATTTTTCTTTAATGTTTTAATAGTTTTTATTATTTTTCTATTTTAAGGTCAATGACTGATTACATCAAATAATACAAGTAAATTATTACTCTAAACCTCATGATTTTAGATATGAAAAAGCAATCACATTGTAAAAATAAGGCAATTCACTAGAATATTGTTAATTTTTAAATATTCACTTTAGTAACATTTTGTACATCTCACAAATCTCAAGTATTAACTTTCCTGATTTTTATTTATTGGCAATAAGGATTACAGGATACTGAGAATTTAAAAAAGACTCACAGTTTTGTATCCATCAAATCAATTTTCATTTTATTTTATGCAATACTATTTCAAGTCTAATAATTTACACATAAATAAAATGTGTAAGTATCTATTATTTTTTCCTTAAGGAAGATTGCTGGTGTAGTCTTTATACTGTCAAATTAAGTTAACAACTGAAGGAATAGAAGTAAATAAATCAAAGAGCTAAGTTCACCCCGTTTAATATCTGAAACAGAAAAATATAACCTACTTAATAATTACTAAGAATTATTTTTAATAATTCATCCACATCCACAAAATCCACAAATCAGTTCTACAGACTACTTTTAAGTTACTTAATATAAATATGTTCAAACTATCAATTTTTACCTTCTTACCTCGTCCATAAAAGGTGGCATTGAGGTCTGCAGAACCCATATGATGCTGGAGCGTGAGCTGTCGGCCACTGCGTTTGGCTAAGTAAAACCTTCAGCAAATCAAATCAGGTTTCAGAGAATCATGCAATTTATACGTGGGAAATTATAACCACAGGATAACAACTTTAACAAATGTGTCTGGAAGGGAGACTTTGAAAGCTCAAGGAAATCTCAGGAATCAAGCTCAGCTCCGTAACTTACAGAAAAGGACACAATAAAAGGACAGGGGAGGGAGAAGGAGATAGAGGGAAAAAGACCTAAGTGATTCATTCAGCTGGGTATTAAGTGATTAACGCAGCATACTAAATAATTTCTACTGGTACACTTGCCCCTGGCCTCTGCTCAGTCATTGCTGTTCTTAAAACCACCTTTCTTCATAATCAATTCACCCTAAGCTACTGGCAGACATCAACCACACAAAATATACTCCTAACCATGCACTGAATGCTGAAGAAAAGACATTAATAAATATTCCTCTGAGCTGAATGTATATAGCTATTTCTTACAAATTAAAAAGCATAGAGATAAAAAGTTCTCCTTTAGAACATGAGGTTAAAAATGGAGTATAGCCTCAATCAGGGACACTACCAATGCTCAAATTTATTTCAATTTTGGACAATTATTTGCACTCAGAAAAGCAAAGTTGTATTTCTGTTTACCTTCTGAATATCTCAAAAGCATGTCTTGGGGCTGGTGGGATGTTGCACTTTGGTGTGGCTGATGGAGTGGGCCAGTATCCTGTCATTAGCACCCGGACTGTGAGGTCAACACCACCTAAAGATACCTGTGCAGAAGAGAAAGACATATGCCCCCCAATTAACTAGGATTTGTTACCCATTCCACATTGACACTGTGTTAGAGTTATCAAAGTAGTTAGCTCCATGTCCAATATCTAGCACATAACTCATCTTAAAGGTTAGACCCATCCCAGTGTATTCCAAATTTTAACTATCTTGGCAAATATTTATAATTATTGCTTATGTTGTTGGCTTTATAAAATACTAATCAAAGGATAACTCTATGCATGTGAACAAAGTCTTACTGGTGTCACTGAGTAGTGTAAAATTTTGGCTTGCAAGCTAATTTTCAGATAAAATGTCAAGGAACCATATATCACCATCATTTTAAATAAATTTCTAAGATACTATCTTTTATCTCAGCTTTTAAATGTTTTAAACCACCTTAATATACAAACAACATATTTCTAATATCCCATTCACATTTCAACTACATTGACAAAATTTGTTTTTTACATGTAGTTCACATTTTAACAACCTCTCCACGGGACACTGTATATCCAGTCCTACATAGTAGGTGATCTAAATATTTGTATAATGTATGACTACCTCTAGAAAATATATGTTAGAAATACTGTCACAATTATTTATTCTTTGAACAAATTTAATTTTTAAGAAAACAATAAAGTGTATCAATAGGAATTTTTAAGGGTGAAGTATTATCTTTATTATTGATATTCACAGCTTGTTCTAAACCATTACTCCATTTTTATCTAACCTTCATGATTTGGTGATAACAGATTCTTAAAAGAGAGGAATTGAATCTATAATATAAAGAAGTATTCCACAGTCAGATTTCTCCCCACATATCTACTAATTGTTTACTCCACTTTAGAAAAACTGCAACTAGAAATCTTAGATGATGCATAGGAGAGATGATCATAGCAGAGATTCTCAGAGGATGAAAAGAGTAGGTTGGATAACTGTTTGTATTTGTTGAAATTGGGGACTGGGAGTGGGGGGGGGTCACAACTTGATTCGAATACATCCTAGAGAATGAAGTCTTTTTATCTACATATCCACGCAATTTCTTAATATTCAAGTCTTTGCTCAAAATGTTATTGTTTTTTTAAAGGAGGCCTTCCGTAACTACTTTTCCCTGCTGCAGATTTCCTCTGTATCTCCTATCAGCAGCTAAGGTGCTCTGTTTATTTATCTGGTTCATTATCTGTCTCCCAGATCAGAATGTAAGCTCCATCATAGCAGGATTTGTCTCTATTTTGTCCTCTGCTGTATATACCCAGTTCTAGAACAATGCTTTGCACAGAAAACACTTGATGAATTACTTGTTAAATGGAAGGAAAAAAAACCTTTAAGAATTATTACTAGAAGTTTGTATCATCTTTTTCTAACTATCTTAGCAATATTTTGAGGCCACTCAGCCTATATTCAGATAGCACATGACAGGGGCAAATACACAGACAGAGGTACCAGAAAAGTCTGTTAGGATATGATGTGATTTGTGATATAAACAGAAATATGATTGTAAGATGGTTTTCCTTACCCTGTCCCTGTTTTAAAAATAAAAACAGAAGAAAAAATGGACAAATACTTAAATTTCTTTCAGCTTTTTATCTAAATAAAATATTTTCATTATCATTAGAATTTCAAAAAAGTACTTATTTTATGACTTCTAAAAGAAAGTGAAGAGCCAATCTCTTGGTATATTTCAACAGACTGAGAACCTTTAAGAAAGTTACAAAGAATCATCAATTGCAGGATTGGTGATATTTTAAAAGGGCTCAAAGATTTCAGAAAGCTCAGATCTGTTTTGATTAATCTGTCACTTTTCATCAAATCTGTCTAATGCAGACTAAGGCTTAGGAAACTCAGAGCTTAAGGTCCTTAGCATAAATAATTATAAAAAAACAATAATTCCTTGTAAATAATGGCTTTATAGTTAAGTGGAAGCTGCAACCAAATTAACAGAAAAAAATGAGCATCTTGATAAAAGTATTCTCCTTACTGTAGTTAACAAATTACTAAGCAAATACTCTACCAGAGTGAAAGATATGTCTGAACAATCAAGATTAAAGTCTGGAAAACTCACAAACTTTAAACAACTGAAAGGCAAACAGATCTGATGAAATTATTATGTTGGATAATCATTCCCTCCCTCTTTTAAATGAGACAACCCCAACAAAGTAGTGAAGAGTAAAGAACCTAATTTTCTTGTCAAAGGGCCTTCAAGATCACAGGCCAGGTAATTTTCAACAATACTTAAAATACTAAGGGTGTTGAACCTCCCTTACAGGTAGTTTCAACAGAGTATTTATTCCGACTAGTTATCTCCCTCAATATACGTAGCCCTCAATATATGTAAACTTAGTGGAAGAATAAGAATGAACAGAAAAAAACTGAATCACATGAAAATATGTGTCAGTGTATTAGAATATAATTACAAACCCCTAAACCATCTAAAAAAGACAAAAGTATCTAGGATCATCACATTATTCACATTCTCCCCACCTGAATTTCTATTTACCATAGACTTTTATCTTTCCTGCTCTCAGCCCTTCTACACTACAAATATGAGGCAAATAATCCAACTATTTAAAATGGAGAGGGACCAGAAGCCCCAGTAATGCCTTAATATATATAAATGCCATTTCTACATAATTAGGTATTTTCACATATTTTACTTGTGAAGAGACTGTGGAACCAGTAGAAGTGATCTCATATTTAAATATCAAAGGAAAGATCTCCAAATTTCTTTCATGGGTGTGACATGTCTTAATTACAAAGCAGTATATATGAGAGAGAAAATGTCAAAGAAACGCTGGAGTTCTCTAAAACTTAAGGTTAAAGGTGAAGTTGAAAAAGAGTAAAAAGAAACAAAATTCTGAACTTCATTGAATCCTCACAAAAACCCCACTGGACTCCAAAGCTGTATGGATTCTAGTATACTGCCTTTTGGGAGTCACAATACAGAATCACATTTAAAACGCACTAGTGTCACTGTTTAAATACTCAGTTCATCAGATGTCAGGCCCATTTAGGCTGATCTGAATGTGAATGAGGAGACTGAGGCATAGGACAGCGGGGAAACAAGCTGGGTGCTGGGGTAAAGTGAAAGCGAGAGCACCAAAACTCGGGACGCCTGCCTCAGCCCAGGATTCTTTCCGTGATCCAGAATGGTTATAACAGCAGAATCATTGTTTGTTAAATTTTCAGTGCATTCCTTCATGTAGGGAGGTTAAACTAAGTTCTAGAAGAGTAAGAAGTAAGTATTTTAACACTGACAGTTAAAATAAGAGGTTATATGGGGGAAAATGATTTTTAAAGCACTCACAAAATACATATGTTGTCTCTCATGACATTTAAGGAACCAACCCCAGCAATTCAGTTCTGAAAATGGATGAAAATGCCCACTGCAGAAGACTACATGGACTGATGAATAGCAGTGTCATATTCTTGAAGCCAATGTAATATTATGTTATCAACGATACTTCAATTAAAAACAAAAAGGCTTTACATGAATACATTTAATTTAAAAGTAGAAATAAGTGGAGAGTCTTACCCCAGTTGCCTGTAGATGTTGCCTGAATTCATCCATAGTTGTGTTTGAGATGCTCATATCCCTAAACATTCCTTCCAGTTTTGATGTGAACTGACATCCACATTCAGTCTATGGAGGAAAAACACAAATACACACAAATAAATTATGGATTTTTTGATGAGAAAATGTACAAAGAAATAAATTCTTCCATGCTACTGCCATCTTTTCTAAATCTTTCCAAGAGTTGCTCTATGTAATTACCCAATGATTCTATTTTATAATGTAGATTCCCAGACTCTTTCAGATTCCAATATACCTTCTAGATGGTAGGGCCCAGAACTCTCTTTTTAGCAAGCACCTCAGGCGGCAATGGGTACAGGCAGTCCACGGACCACACTTTGTGAAACAACTATATGGTGATACTCCCCCCCTTCTGGTTTCCCTTGTACTAATCCTTCCCCATTTCCATGAACGTATCCTGTCATACCAAGAGAAATTCCAGCCAACTCTGAATGCCCCTGAACCTGAACAAAAGTACAGCCTAATCAAAAAAAAAAAAAAAACTACCTTTGCTAATTAAAAATATTTTAAATCAATTAAGTATTTTCCAATCATATGCTACTAGTGTTTAATCATGTGGTAAACATTAGTTGGTTGGACAGACTCCATTCCATCTTATGTACACCTTACCTTTAACTTAGATATCATATTTTTTTCAGAGTCATCAGAAACACTTTTATTTGTGAGAAGTCTCCTTGCCAAGTGTTGCTTATAGTAACGTTCAAATACATCTTTTTCTTGCATAAACCTAAAAAGGACCATTGCCTTATCCAATATTGTTTCTACTTCTTGTTCTGTTAGCTGTAAAATCAATGAAAAGATTTAACAATTAAAACATTTTAGTTCTACCAAAACAGCACCATAGCTCATCCATAATTTAAAACCAGTACTGTCTGGTAACAAATCATCGGGTTGAGAACTCTAAGCAGGAGGGAACCGGCCTGAGAGAGGGCCCCCTGCTTCAGACAGCCCGAGCACAGCTCCCACATCCCCGCCCAGCACAGCCCTCATCCGGGGGCAGAGTGGAGTTCCCGGCCCCAGGGTTCCGCTGAGATGGAGGCATGCAGTGATACGCAGCAGGATTAAACGATGGCTTAGAACAGATGCAATGAAATTTTAATCACAAAAATCTTGCAATGCCTTTGCACAATATTTGGGTAGAAACTTACACAGCCAAAGGACTGCTCATTTTCATATAAGCTCAATCAAAACGTAAATTTTTCCAAAGAGGGGCAATAATTTGTTATTAATTAAGAGAGTCACAAGACCCCTTGTCCGCTGCCCTTATCTTTTAAGTAAGGGCAAGATGATACTGGTGCAAGTGGTATAAAACTTGTATTAAAAATTATGGAAGACCAAAATAGATGTATCTTTTCTGTTTCTTTGGTCTTCTTCTTCCTGTTTCTTTGTTGCAGCTGCTGCCTGAGAACCTACAGCCAATTCTTTTTCCTTTTGGCTTCAAGTTCCAAAACGAAGTTAAAGAAAAAAAAATTTTTATGTGTGATCACAATATGCTTAATATGATTTTCTATGCTGTGGTGAGCTTCCAAGGTCCCAGTATATATAATAAAGGCTTAAAAATGAGCTTCAGTATATGCTTTCAAACTATTTTTTGATAGCCATTCTAGTTTATGCCTTCAAATTTTCTGCATCCAGCTATTGTTTGATACACAGACCCCAGACCAGATGACAGCAAACAACATTCTGTGCTGCAGATAGCTGTTTTCTAGTTACATCTCTATAGCATATCTGACTCTTGCTGTCTGCAGACTGTTCAGTAACTATGGCTATGTAGTTTTTTGTTTTTATGTCAATTACACATTAAGGGAAATGGCAAAGTACTTCTTACTACTTCAAATACTTAAATAATCCTTTTCAAAGATCACAGTACAAACGTTAAGTGAAGTACACAGTACAGCAAAGAATAATGTATGCTTAATTTCATACTTACAAAATAAACTAATTTTATATTAACAAATAAAATTTAATGTGTTTTCACACACATTTATACTTACCCCTTTTACTCCCTTTTTCAGCTTATCATCAATAAATAATGAGAGGTATTCAGGGGACCTGGAGTTGAGGTTGAGAAAATACTCAAAATCACCTGCAATAGTTTGTTTAAAGAGCCGGTCATTATTAAATGATTCCTGGAGGAAGCGATCAAACCTACTCTTCAGATCCAATAAGCCCTTTCAAAAAAAAAAAAGAAATTTAGGATATATTATTAATAATATTTCTATTAACAATAGACTTGTGGATCATGTATAATTATCATTTTGCTTATAAATGTCTCCATTCAGTGTTAAACTTATAGATTCTATGTTTTGTTTTCAACTTATTTTCATTTCATTGTCTCAACTAATGGGTGAATCCAACAAGAGCTTTAAAAATATTCAAAAAAAGCTTCTTATTTATATTTAAAACATGGAAAAACTGCAGCATAATTTATTCATAATACTAATTGAAAGCAAAACCATTCTGAAACAAACAGTTAACAAACAGTTTTTCTTCCTACAAAGGAGGTGTATGAACACTAAGGCATATAAGGGCTTCATCAAATAGGTTAGTAAGTGAAAAGAGCAGCTGAGTCTGGTTACCCGATATAAATATGCCAACTTCACAAAATTCTAAAATATTTAGGATAATTACACATACTAATTTACCCTTGGGACAAAGTCAAAAATATATAATATATAGCTTAGTAAAAGTGACCTTTTTAGCACTTGTCAAAACTACTTTGTCATAAACTTAAAAGAGAATCTTCTATATTTACTGACCTGAATATAATCAACGGGGTTCTTTCCTTCTCCTTCCTCAGAAACAAGGGCTTTACCTTGTTCCCGCAAATAGGAACTCATACACTCACACATTGTCTTCAAACCATTTGGCACACGACTAAATAACTTGTACATGCAAGCAAGGTCTGTAATCAGAAAACACAAAAACCAGCTACATTAAAGATTAGGAAAAATATGTTAATCTCTGATCATGCTGATCTGTGATAGTTGAAGAGGCCTTGGTACAGGAAAAACTACTAAAAGGAAAAAAAAAAACCTCCACCAAACTGGAACGGGAAAAAAAATTAGGGCTAATGATTATTATTTCAACTCATGAAATGCAGCTTTCAGATTAGTGCTTTGAAATACCAATATAATATCATTAACAAATTTCAGTTACATGGAAAAGATGCCCAAAGAGTATAAATAATAAAGCCACAAATGAAACCTGTTTGGAATTTCTACATAATTTATCCTATATAACTCTAATCTAGAACCTGGTTATTTTATGAAATGTCAATCAAAAAGATAACTTTAATTATGGTATAACTGGGAGTCAACATAAAAAGCAAGAAATTTAAAAACCAACTTAAAATCTTACATTTTTCAACATTCCTATCTCAAAAGTTCAAACAACAACCAGGACAATAAACAAACATATACTAAGGTTTATTTCATTACACATCATGGTAAAGTCTATATGAAATTATGAATTAAAGCATAAATTCCTATTCTTTAATATTTTCCTCAGAGCAATTCCTAGTATTTCCCAGGTAATGGCCTAAGCCAGTAACATCTCTTTTTTAAAAACTGGCTTATCTCACTATATTGTTTTTATTTAAAATGAAAACTCTGGACTCTGTCCATTTTTTATATCGTTTTTCACAAGATTAAAATCTGGAGTTAAAATACTTTTCTATATGTCTAGTGTTTCTCTAAAGTAAGAGCTTACTGGGAGACTATAGTGTCAGAACTTGACAATCATATAAAAAAGTTTTACAATCAGGAACTTTTGAAAATGGGAGTTAGAACAGTGGTTTCCAGATCAAGGATTTTGTCTATAAAGTATTAGGTAATAAATATCTTGACACACTGCTCAAGAGCACGGCCTAGCACAACTAAGACATTTTGCACTTAGATTGCTAGTGCAAAGTCAGGACAACTGGAACTAGGATTTAAAATTTTGATTTGGAATCACAGGTGACTGGTTGGTTGCTGAAAATATTTAGCACTAAATAGAGAACTATAGTAAGTAGCTATGCTGATATTTCTTCATTTATGTACTTACTAAGTGCTTGCCATGTGTTAGGCAAACTTAATGCCTTTGGCACAAATCTCCATACAGGTTACAGAGATGCTGTAAATTCAGGCATGCCCAACAACCTCTCCATCAAACATTACCTAGTTTCCTCATCTCCAACCCATTTAATCTTTCCCCACCCAGCCTTCAAAGGTATGTAAGAAAACATTAACTCAATAACCAAAATGTGTATTAGAAAATTTACTGATTCTCTAATTCTTTAATTGGAGGAAACTGCTTTTCATAAAGTCCTAGTCTGCCAGCAAGCACTTAGACTGGGGTCAACTATACAGCCCATGGACCTATGCCCACTGCCTGTTTTTGTACAGCTCACATACTAAAAAGTTTTCACATGTTTATGTGGTTGAAAGAAGAAATCAATGTTTCATAGGAACATAGTGAAGATTTATTCATTTGTGTTATTGTGTATGCCTACTTTCTTTACTATTACAGCAGAGATGAGTGGTTTACCATATGGCCCACATGACTAAAATATTGACTATCTGGCCCTTTGCAAAAAATGTGTGCTGACCCAACTTAAACCTTAGACATCTAGAAGAAAACACAATGAACACACTTAAAAATGACTGATTTTTGTTTTTGTTTGCTTTTACAAAACAACAGAAGGGTCTTTTAAAATGTAACTTTCTCTGTTTTAATAAAGCAACAAATTTACAGACAACTTTTCAGGAACTTAACACAAATGTATAAATAGTACTACTTCAAAACACAAAGCTAGGATTCCACTAGAGGTACAACCTCTCCACAATCTTTCTTTTCCCTTCTCTTATATACTTCTCTCTAACTCACTTAAAATTTTTATTTTCATTCCCTAGGTATATTTCTTTTATAAGAAGTGAGTGGCTAAAACAGTAACCCTTCATTAAGAAGCAGGAGGTGAGTTTAAAGTATCAAGTTTATTTTTTAATACTATACCATCAGTGATTTATAAAGCCATAGTTTTAAAACAAAGCTTTAGAAAATTAAGAATGAAGACATGACTGTTAATTATTCTAGTTACAATTTCTTCTCAAGTACTTGTCAGAAAAATATTGTTTTCAGGAAAGTAAAGGGAAATACCCCAAAAGAGTAAAGGCTACAGTTACTCCAAATGTTTACTTTTACATAATTCTCTTTTCTCCTTTTTTTAGTCTGTGACTTCAGAGTTCTTCCTAAGGATTCCCAAAACCAATTCACCAATTTATCTAAATACACTGACATGGAAGATACACATTTTTCCATTTTTGGTGCTCTCATCACAACTAACTCCCAAAAGAAAGAAAACAAAAATGTTAAGATTGGAAATTTAGATTTTCAAAGAATCACAAAAATTACAGGAGTGTATATAGGAATAGAGAGAGTCCCAACCCTATGGTCTATAAAAACAGAGTACATGAGCAGATGAGGAGCTCAGGGGCCTCACCAATAATATTAGACTTACCTCTGGATTAAAATGCAAAATGAGGAGATATAAGATGGAAAAATAGAAAAAAAAAGCACCAATTCAATTCACAAGAAAAATCTAAAATTCTCTTAAGTATAAAGCTTTACTGTTATAACCTGTCAAAGTAACAATAGTGATAAATTAATGATACGACATTTACGAAAATTTTAATTATAGGAAAATAAAAAAATTACTGAGAACCTGGTAGAATTATAAGGATTTATTTATGTTTCAATTGCCAATACTTACCTTCTGTCTTTCCATTTTTCAACATGTGTACTAGCCCAGAATTCTCCATTTCTACTATAGTTTTCATGTGTTTGGAAATGAGTTCCCTCTCAACCACCTTTACAATCGGCTCTTCAGTTGATTTGTCAAGGCAGTGCATCACCCGTTCTATTTCTTCATTAATTCTAGCTTCTACTTTCTTAATATACACTGAAGCACTGTTTTCTGCTAAAAATTTCTGGCTTTCCATCTGCAAAGAAGAATCAGGATTTTAAAAAATACGCAAAATGTGTTTCTGCTTTTTCCTGGGTTTCTATAATGTTCATCATAAACCAAATTAAATATCTTAACTGCAATTGACATTTTTTATTTCTTATTACACATATTCTCATATACTGGGAATTATATCCTTTAAAGTATTATTTACATAAGACTAAATTAATACATTATCCTTAAGCAATGTTTTTCAAACTTTGCCAGTGTACTCCAAATGGCAGAATAATAAGCACATGCTAATAAGAGTCAAAAGCACCTGACCCCAAGTAAGAATGGGAAATTGTCTTTGATTTAATGTGTAATTATGCCTAGGATTCATCATGTTTGTCATGCAGTTTTGCTGGCATACTACTAGTTAGTTACTAAAGTCCTCCCCATCACCCCACTCCCAGTCTCAAGTATATATACTTAAGTTTGAGAAATAGAACTTTTAAATACCTGTTAGCCTTGTATGCTAATATCAGCCTTATAGAAGTTCCACTAAATTATAAATGTTATTAACCCAACTGGTTTTCACCTATCTGGTAGGATTAACAAATGTATCTGAAAATTTCTTTGTACTAGAAGACATGTTGATTATAAACTATGTAAAATTTTAATAACTTTCCTTCTTAACAAAAAGTAGTTTTAATCCTTGAAAATAATCAAGTTTCGAAGAACAGATAACACATCAAATAACAATCTTGGTGAGACCATCTCTCCACTCACTATTAAAAGTAGTATGTATTATGTAAAAGCACACACTATACATGTGTCACTACAGCACACTTTGGAACCTTGACAATTAAATCTTCTATTGATATTTCTATACTGTAAGGAAGTTAATTAAAACAAATGCAAATATCAAAAATATCTATTATTAGTTGGTGCATTATTAGAAAATTAAGACTGTTTCCTATATTATAAAAAGTTCATAAAACATGGTCCAGGCTCACCAGAGCAGCCACAAAGGTCTTCTAATAGGCTATAAACTGATTTAAAAAAAAAAAAGGGCAAGTCCATTCTTTGTTTCTTTATGGGTACATAACACCAAAACTGACTGAGTTCTATTTTTATACACAACCAAAGGCTTTTGTGAATATAGCCTACTGAATTACTACTGCATATTATTACAATTTCGTATCATTCATTTTTTTAAAAAACATATTATTGGAATAAAAACTTTTAAGGTAGTATTATTCAATTAAGTGTGTTTTGGCAACACCACAAAGCTCCTATTGTAAATTGCTCAGATAGTTGAGGCTTTCAGGAAGGATGCTTGGTTATCATTACCTTATAAATACTAACATTTGTCATGGTACTCAGTTACTGTTATCAGTTCATTACAAATCAATACTAGTTTTAGCTTTACTTTTAGCAATTTAGTTGGTTTTGGGTTGTATATACTGCTGCAAATTTTTATCAATTGTACTTAATGACCAATACTTTTTTAATCAATAGCCTTTAAAAGATATGGACTGTGGGATCATGCATATTCCTGTATTTATTTTACTAGTAACTTATACTACCAAAAGCCTGAATAGTGAGACTTCAATGGTGATGCACTGCCTGTGGATTTACAGTAAGTAATTTTTAACATACAATGAACTGTTAAGGTTATTTCCGAGTTCATATGTTTGATGACATATAATAAAAAAACTGTGTGTTAGGTCCACTCTTAATTTGTTTTCAATGAGCTGTTTCACTGTAATGTGCAAATGAGGGGTAGGTGTGCCAAAGGGTATTTTTTGCATCCTTATCCTCAAAAAAGCCTCAGTAAAAAAAAAGTCAAAATGTTTGAATTAGTGAACATTCAATAACTTTAAGAACATCTTTAAAAGGTATTTATTTATATCTTGATTACCTGAAAAAATTCTGCAGACATTTCCAAAAATGGAGCCTCAAAATCTTCTTCATAGACCGATCGTCCTTCAAGACCTAAAATCATTAACATCTGGCAAGCATTTCTTATTGCGCCTCTGTCAAAAGAAGTTAAACCACTTCACAATCAAATTACATTCATGTTTCATGTAAAAAACACACTGGAAGTTAGACTTTTAGAACTTTTTTTTAATCAAAGTGACTATTCTTGCATAAGCCACTCACTTGTAACATTAGGATTTGCAGTAATTTTAATTGGAAGGCATATCTTGACTGCACAGCTATTCACCTCAAGTTGTTCTCATGCTGTGACAATATAAAAATTTTAAAGGAAGTTAGGTTTAAGATGTCTAAATCTTCCTGTGTGTTTAAAAACACAAGAAAAGGGCTGTTTATCAGGAAGAGGAGGGGAGGGGGGCTGCACTGCTTGTCATGGGCACAACACAGTTACTTCTAGGCTGTAACTTTTTTGTACTAAATTGGCTTCTAGGCAATCCTGACTAAGCACCAAAACTGAAGTAAAAATAACTACAAGTTTTTATCTAATAGCTCCTTTGAATACAAAGAATCAAAGAAAGCAGTCTTACAGTTTAAGCCACTGTAACTGCAGAGTCACAAAAATGGCACTACAATCATGTTAGAAAGGGGAAGGCACTATGACCTAGCAGAAGGGATACAATAGTTCTTAGTCATTTTAGACTGTGTTCAACATTTTTCTTCAAATATGCTAAGAATGAAGGCTAGTTAAAAGCCCTTAAAGAAAAAAGATGAAGAGAACAAAAATGTTATCACAGCAAAAGAACAAAATACCATCATAAAAAGTACATGAAAAATCAAAAGGAAAGACTAATGGCTGATCTGCTTTTAAAAAGAGTATTAAATAAAAGCTTAGGATGGTTTCTTCTAAAAATAGGTATGTGCTTTTAAGATAAAATCTAGGTAACTGTTAACTGACATTAGCTTTTGAGGATTTTCATAGTATGCTGGGAAAACTTTATTTTAATAAAATTATGACAGTGAATAGGTTCTCAAGATATATAACCACTAAAAACCAAAACCTGCAGTGTAAAAAGATAATTATACCGGTCTACAACTTCTCCCTTCCGCTCTCTTGCAATCATATCCAACAGCGTTTGCCGCAGATGATCCCGAATACATCCATAACGTACAACCTGATCTCGGAAAATAATTAATCCCAAATTGTAGACATTCTCCACATTATTTTGTTGTACATATACACGGTCCTACAGTTAAAACAAATATTAATATGAGTACAATTCATTCAATAAAAACTGGCAGAAATCTAGTAATATAAAAAGCAAAGAGAATCCTTTTTATTATTAAAAAAATAGTACTGCATAAATCAATCTTTAAAATAGTTTTTATTTTTACATTTTTGGACATAAATTTCTGTGGTACAGAAAAGTACCATATACAGAATCACTCTTACCCAATGTGCACAATATTACGTTATAGTAACAAGAAGTACAACTCGCATAAAACAGGTCTGAAAACAAATACAACTGGATCTCAGTAAACATAAAGTTCAACTGGTAAGAGGACAGCAGAGAAGATACACTGGCGTACTGAATAGCAGTGAAACAACTTTGTATCAGCCAGGCTGTTTTACAGCTAGAACAGAAATTACTGAAAATTCTGGCAAGAACTATAATTCCAACTGTATATACTCCATGTCAATGAGATATTAAGCAAAGCTTACAGGGTGTGTGTAGGTATTACCAAATTTAACATATGTCCAGTAAGATAATAACATATTTCTTAAGAAGCCAAATGTTCTTAATTTAAAAGAAATGTCAAAGAATTAGGTAAGATTTTATTGTTTTTAATGCAAGGGCACTACCTATAAGAATTACAGAACAAAAGGCACACACAGTGTAATCTTCTGAGTAAATTAAGAGTGTTGGAGAAAAAATTTTAATGTTCCCTTTTTTTGGCTTTATTGCAATATAATTTATATGCCACAACAACATTAACTCATTTTAAGAATACAGTTCAATAATTTACAATAAATTTCTAGTTGTAATAACCACTGCCACCATCTAGTTCTAGAATACTTCCATCAACCCCCACCTCCCCACCTGCCAAATCCCTTGAGCTTCTTTGCAGTCAATCTCCACTTCTAGCACCCCTGCATTTTTCCTCTTTGTATAAATTTCCTTTTCTGGACATTCCATATAATTGAAATCATGTAATATGTAATCTTTTGTATCTGATTTTTTACTAAGCATAAAGCTGTTAAGGTTCATTAGTGTTTTAACATGTATTTCATTCCTTTTAGGGCTGGATAGTATTCCATGATATGAACAGGCCACCTTTAGTTTATCCTCTTACCATCTGATAAGACATTTTGGATTTCTTCCAGTTTTTGTCTACTATGAATATTTAGGTACAATCTTTTTATGAACACATACTTTCATTTTTCTTGGACAGATTTCTAGGAGTGGAAGTATTAGGTCATACAGAAATTGGAAATTGCCAAACTGTTTTCTAAGGTGGACGTATCAGTTACAGTAAATTTTTGAATACAAAAATACTAGATGTGGAATTAATAAGTGTTCTTTGTATGATCTCTAGCTGTACATTAATTGGCTATGTGACCTTGAGTATGTCATTGATCCACACTGGACCTACGTATCACAAAGGGCTGGTAAAGACAATCTCTACAACTCAAATATGACTTCCAATGGAGCTTAATTCTCTTATCAAAAATTAATATATTCTAGGGATCACGATACATTTCACTACTATTTCTTCCCTTTCTATTTGCTATCAGTCTCCCATAGCTTGGTTCCTTTTTCTCAATCTTATGCAGTGATGCTATCATTAGTGAAGTAATGACTCTGTACCACTGTTAGCCTACAATGTCTGCCATCTCAAGTCTTCTGGCAAAAAGGCAGAAAAGGAGTCAGAGGCAGCTGATGAATTCTTCGAGTATACTACACATGGGGGAATTATACTTCAGAGTAAAGGAAAAGAGGTACAATGGGAACACCTGGTTGCAGTGTATAAGCAGAGCACAGAACATTTAAGTCCATGGAAGACGACTAGGGACAAGGGAAATACAGATGTAGTGTAAGAGCTAAATCTCTTTTAATGTGAGACTGTCAAGGTATACATAACAGTTATAATGAAATGGCATAGAATACTAAGAAAAGCTGTTAACCCTGAAATTTGATAACAGATACCAGAGAGCTAATATATGAAGAAGGGAAAACCCACAAACTCAAGTGTGGCTATTTAAATTAGTGATACTAATGATTTGTATTAAATATTGGCATGTATGATTATCATCAAACAAAATAAAAGCTATACATGTATACACCTGAGTGTTTATGTGTGCGTATGTTAAATGTAAGTGCACACATCGTTCACAATAAACCTGAAAACAGCACGATATGTATTAAAATATTTGCTGAACACGCTATATTTTCTGTTTTACTGATTAGTACTATCAGAAGGAATTCAGCCTTTCAATATACAATAGCATTTTCATAATAGGTTGTAATAGGCCTCTGTTAAAAATAAGTGACTAATTTTCTGTAATGCAGTATTAATGGAGCTCTAATCATTTAGATCACTGTAGTACTTTTATTGTTTATATGTTTCTACGTGAATATTTAATTTTTAAAAAGATCTATTTAAAATTCCAGTCTAGTTAACCTCTAACTAGCTAAAAGAATTCAACTTCAAAGTATGGACAAGATGAAAATCAAACGAAGAAAAAATATTAAAGAATAACCAATAAATATTTTAATCTCAGACTTTTTCAACAAAATCTGGTTTGTATGAGTCCAACATCTGTCGTCTATCTACTGTTTCAGAGCTCAGCAGAGTTGGTAGCTGCTTCTATTTGCCTTTTTAAGCCTAAATGCAGGCATTTTAAATATAAGATGTTCTGAAAACCAACTCTGAAAGCCTAATGTTTGAGTCAAACATTAGATTTACTAAAGGGATATGGCTTCATCACTACAGAGGTAATCTACATTTTCAATCTCTATTTATGGTTCTTTCTCAGGAGTTTCCTAGGAAAGCAAACCTACATGCAATGGGTAAGAAACTTTACAAGCCAGAGGGAGCCTGGGGGAGAGGAGGAGAAACCAAGAATGAGACCATCTCATCGTCCCTGTTTGCACAGAGCAGGCAAGAAGGCTGTATTGTCATCTGACTTCACCTATACAGTCAGCTTGATAAACCAACTGAGAAGCACTTCATCTGTAACACATCACCTGCTTCACAATGCTATTCCACATTATTTCCATTTATACTCTTGAAATAATTGACTTGTAAGACCAACTTCCCTGTCAAAACCAACTACAAAAACTAGGTAAGAAATAAAAAAGTAACACCTGTTTAAAAGCATCAAGTAGGACAAGTAAGTCTCTAGGAGTCAAGGTAGAGAGACAAGGAGAGTCTTTCTTCTTCTGCTACAAGACAAGGGAACCTCAACCAGCTGATATACATGTAAAACTTCTTTGGCAAATGCCTACTCATGACCCAGGGCTCTTCACATTTCCAACTGATAAAAGGATATCAGCCTACAAGGTGGTTGGCCATACAAGGCCGCAAATATTCTTATTCCCACCACCTCAGAAAAGATTTGCTTTTTCCTCTTAATGGACAGCTACACAAGGACATGTACATATTTAACATATGCATGAGAGATCACACTCAGCATGGAGAAAATTATTCTTAGAGGTATCAAGATGTGCTATGCAAAAACACAGATCTTACGAAAGCTCAGACAAGCTAACCTGTGCTACGTCAAGGAGAGCCTTTGTAAGCAGGCCAAACAGCTTTATTATTCAGGGAATGATATTAAAAACAAATCAAATATTAAAACAAGAGCAAAAACCAACTCTTACAACTTAATTCACCTTCAAGAAACGGCTCAGCCAGTATTTTTAAACAACAGTCATTATGTTAAAGTGAAGCAAGCTAGGATAAATGGGTAATACACACAGTAATCAATGGTGTCCCCCAAGGAAAGAAACAAGTTAAAAGGTCTTTCAGTAACTGCTCATATCTAGTATCTCATTTAACAATGTCTTCTTGCAAAAATTAAACAGGTATTTGTGAAGTAAATTCTAAAACTAACCTTTGGGTTAACTTAGTACTACAAATATAAATACAATGGTCTGTTGTCTGAATTAGTCAGTTTAAGGGAGCTCTGTACACATTTTTCTTTAAAGTTCAGTACCTTAATAACACCACTAAAGACCCAAGGGCAGCTGTGGATCAGTACTCCATCATCTACCCTTGCCTTATGGCCAGTGGTATATTGAGTTATGCAAAAACCACTGTTAAATAGTAGTGAAGAGCACTGAAAGCTGGTTTATCAAGCAAATTGTCAAGCTGGTTGCTCATATTCTTGAATATTCTTTCAGTTTCTTGTCCTCATACCAAGAGGATATATAACTGTGTTTTCGTTTATTATTTGAAAAGCGAGTAAGAGGAATGTAAACAGTGTTAAAAATCTTTACAAGTATTGAATATTTATCCCGCTCACAAACTAGAGATAAACCATGAAAAAGTAAACTTATTTAAAAAAAACAAACAAGCAAATAACTCTGTAACAAGTAGCTACCGACTGTTAGAACGTGTTTGAACCTGTTTTCCCAAGCTTAATCACTAGGCAATCTATCAACAAGTAATAAGTATAAGTATTTCCAAACAGGGTTTTTGCTTTCAAACCATGAAATAAATATAAGTAAAGATGGCTTAACACAATAAAGACAGAAATAGAAAATTAAAAACAAAACAACAACAAAAAAAACCAGAAAAGAAAAAGAATTTTCTACTACAGATGTAGTAGGGAAAAAACAAGTCTAATTAAATCAAAGTTTAAAGAACTATCCTAGTATTTTCCACAATGCTAGTGCCTGAATACATTGCCAAATGGGCACCAGTAAGAAATGAAATAGTGAATTGTATAGCTAGATTAACATTTCTGGATTTAACAACATTATTGGTACCAAGTGACTGGAAAAAAACAGAATATGGTGTCAAAAAACCTGGCTTGAAAACTTAGCTTCATGGATAAAGCTCAAGGTCATAGTTTCCACTACTTTGAAATGGCCCAAAAACCTCTTTCTCAGGGCAAGAAAAGTTTTACAATAATGTAGTTGTAGGAAATTCTACTGAAAAATAAGTTCCATTTATTTTAAGAATTGTGTCTAGGTTATGTAACAAGTCAAAAAAACCCAGGTTATGTTCCTCTAAAGCT